GTCTATCCGTTATTCATCAGTCCTGTCCTTTGTCTGTCCCCTAGTGTTACAAATAAGGGTATGGGATAAGGGTGATACGTATACATGGTATATTTATGTAAAGCCATGATTATTATTTTCTTATTATTCAGACTGCACTTTCTCTGTTTTACTTTACTCGCGGTCGCGGCCGTTCAAGTGTGGATAATTTATTGTGTGACTGAGACTGTATGTACGAACACTGTTATATTAATTGGGAATGATAAGATATAGACTTTGTCTCACTGTTTGTCCAAAGGGAGGTCCCGACATGTTCCCAGCCTTATTTCTCCCCGTGTTATCATTGTCACGCTTTCTCACCTTTATCGTATATTTATATAAGGGTTATATATTGTAATTGGGCATTTCCTTTGTTAATGCAAAACTTCAATCGTCCCCTTTTCCCTTTATTCCCTGGACTTTCTCCTTCGTTTACTGGAGGCCGCCATTTATTTACTTTGTATGCGCATGTGCTTGTCGTGGGAATATAAGATGAAACACGACCTATAACCCTGTGGGCGATCAACCAATCAAATACCATAGAATTGCCTACTGGTACCACGGGGATGTGGGTTGTGGGCACTATGTATTAAAAAGGGCATCTTTCGCCTGCTCTGGTTCTAAGGTTGCGGCCCGATACCAGGGACAACAATAAATTATCCAGACTTTATCGACAGCGAGCAAAGCAAAACAGAGAAAGTGCAGTCTGGATAAATAAATTTTATACTAATAAAAGAATAATCATGGCTTTACATAAATATACTTATCACCCTTAACCCTTACAATTATTTGTAACATTATTAAAACATGTTTTCGTATGTTGATAACAATATTTCTGCTGTTTATTTTACAATTATAAGCTAACATTATATCTCCTTTGAACAGTTAAATTTCACTCTGATGTATTTCAGTTCGCTTGTGTATATATGATGTTTCATTATCTGTATGGATAAAAATAAAAACCACACTTTATAAATTTCATTAGCCCGAAGCATTTTCTGGATAAACTTTCAACAGGAAAGCTCAAAGCCGAATATGTCAAAGCTGCGGATATATGGTGTAAATTCATTAGAAAATTGCTCGACAAATCAAAGATTTTATTGGCTGAGTGGACGATTAGACGTGTGTCGCTACTGTTAAAAAAACCCTGATAATGCTCTGTTAAGGGACAATCATTTGATTTTCGGGGACGGGGGAAGAGGATTTTGAAAAAGAATATCATGACCTGGTAACAGCTTAATATAATTAACCTTAAATGAAACAGTATCAAGATTAATATTATGTTGCGCAAAATGCAGAAAACAGTTGTATACAAAAATGATAATAGATTTTCGCGCGGTTATGCCGCGGAAAGAAAATGAGCATGCGTAGCAACAGATGAAAATGAAAAATCCGCAATATATCCGCCTTTCCCCTTCCCGAATATCAAGGTCTTATGTTATGGTATGTGATAAAAAAAAAGGGGGAATATGTTAACCGTAAGACATTCAACAAGAAGCAAATACAATACCGTATAGTATGATATTACTTGAGCTAATTAAAAAAAAAACATCAAGAGATCCAATATAAAAAAGAAGATGTGGTATGATTGCCAGTTAGACAACTCTCCACAAGAGACCAACATTGAACAGAAATTAACAACTATAAGTCACCGCACGGCCTTCAACAATGATCAAAGCCCATCCCGCATAGTCAGCTATTAAAGGCCCCGAAATGACAAATGTAAAACAATTCAAACGAGAAAAGCAACGGCCTAATTTATGTACAAAATAATCAACGAAAAACAAATATGTAACACATCAACAAAAGGCAACCACTGAATTACAGGCTCCTGACTTGGGACAGACACACAGAATACGGCGGGGTTAAACATGTTAGCGGGCGCCTAACCCTCCCCTAACCTGGGACAGTGGTGAAACAGTACAACATAAGAACAAACTATAAAAATCAGTTGAAAAAGGCTAAACTCATCAGATGGATACAAATAGAATTAAATCTAACAAAAACACAGAGTCGACGTGGACGGGTACTTGTACATCCCAACAACAAAAAGACACTAAGCACAGATCTGAGAGTACTCACAGTTACTGACAGCTAGTTCAAAGTCAATAACAACTAAAAGAAAAAAATCATACTACAACAAGAAATTAAAACAATCAAAACAAGGCGAAACGTAACGAAAACAATCAAATCATGGCAAACCGTAACGAACAGGTCAACTACGGACCCCTCAAATATCAGTTGCAAGGGTTCTTAACGTGCATACAGCGTGGCCCTCTCTCTACACTATTGAGGCATCGGATTTAACCTCCCAATTCTGACTGTACGTGGCTACGTATTTATACATCCCACACTGGCAAATGGACGCCACACTTTAATTGGCAAGGATTTTCCTGCCGTTTGGAAAAAGACCAAGAGTGACCACATTTCTTACCCTCAATCACTTTAGGGGGCATATTAAGTGTCGACACGTCTTTACCCGTCTATGAAAAGTATGACATTGCCATGATATAATTTTAAACAGCATGTGTAGGACCATCATTTTAGATATCTGGATAGTAACACATGTCAAGTAAAGTATCAGATTATTTAAAAAGGGTTCTGCATTTACATGATTTGAGTTGGATGTATTATATATAATTTATGTACTTTTAAAATTTCAGTATATATCTTATGGAGGAGGAATCGGAAGGATTCAGATGACTCTGAACAAGAGGTTGTTCAGTATCACAGATATACTATATGTGTTTACGCAAATTAGAGAAAGCACGATTTCAAACGCCATAGATTAAAGGTTCACTAAAAACCAAATCAACACAGTGTTCCACACACAACAACGAACACCAACTATCTGTGTCATGTTAGTGGTATTATCAACATCAAGTGCCGAATTATCAATCCATTTCAAAGACCAACACACTTTAAATACAAATGTAGCACTTGTTGTGTTGTCTCAAGCCCGTTATGGGACTTAAGGGGACAGCTCAATAGACATAATAACATCAAAACATATAAGTGTTCCCTTTGCAATAAGAAATTTACATACAAAATTCATTTAAAGGTCACTTAAAAGCATGTATACAGAAAAGTAAGTCCATCGTTTTTATCTAACGCCTGTGGTTGTGGATACAAAAATATGGACTCTTTGAATAAACATTAGAAAGTGGTCTATGAAGATTGGCTTTCTAACATGTATATGTGGTAAGCAATACAAATGGCGATCAAGGATATAAGAGACCTTCAATTGCCAAGGCGTTTTTTTATTTTGTTAAAAATCAAAGTTTAAATGATATTTAATATACTTTTTTGATGTCTAGTACTCATTGGTGGTTAATTATCATAATTAAATAGAATTTTTGTCAAAAAACAAGTGTGGACACAGATCAGTGTGTATAGTATGTTTGAATGTTTGACAGTGTTTTCTGACAAACAAGTTTTTTACGGGTTTTTCCAATAGTGTTCTATGTTAAACTGTGTCCCACAGTGACAGCCATCCTCAATATCGGACCAGTACCAAGCACTAAAAATTTGTAGTATCGGTTATTCAATATTTGGTTTTTATGTTCAAGATTATCATGGAGGAAACACTTTTTGTACATCATGTACATGTTATATGGATTTCCAAATGATTCTGTTAAAATATGTTCCAGGCCATAAAAAAAGAATATGTTTGTTTGCCCTTACCCTACCTACCCGAAAAAAAGCTGCCTACTCAAAAAATTCTGTTATTGTTCTGATGTGAAAAAAGTTTTTTTTTGTAATCAAATAGGCATGAGGACTAAAAAAACATCTGACACTTCAATTTTTCTTTTTCCTGAAAAAGAAAGAAAATGCTTACCTACATACCCACTGTCTCTACCTTCGGGTAGGATTTGGGCAAACCAAAATATTTTTAAGTGTGGACCTACTACTTTGCTTTTGGACTTAAGCAAATATTCAAAATTAGTAGATGAACACATAAGCTGCATTTCTGCATTATATGTGATTTAAATATGCCAGATGGTTTATAAGAACATGTATGTATGTTCTTCTTGTATGGTTCTAATTGTGTCCTTTGTGGTGGGCATTTCTTACTTGGAACACTGTAGTTAAGGATCATCCCAGTATCATTAGTGAAAAATTTTGTTTACTTGTCCAAAATTGTTTCTTAGAAGACGTCTAATAGTTCAAAGAGATGATAATACCTGTCAGGCACAATGAGCTAGATGAGCAAGAAAGTACACTTTTGTTGTATTACACATGTATTTTAATTCTTTCTTTGAAAATGTCTTTTTCTTAGGTTCTCCAAGGACTGGTTTAAGTTGTATAAACATGATGAAAGAAACATTTACCAGTATTATGTACCTTTAATAACATGGTATATCTAATTTATCTGCTTATGATTCTTTTCTATATATAAATTATGACAAATCGTGTAGACTAAGAGATTTGAAAAAGGTATTGCAGAATTATTCTTGTTTGAAGGTTTTTGTTGTGTGGATAAAACTATAAATGAAATCTGTAGGATGCAGTTTTGTTGTGGTATAAAAATAAACAGTGCTGTAACCTGGCAATAAACACTAACACAAATTAGGAAATAACAAATCAATGATAAAAGTTGAACAATGAAAGATATTTAGGGACTGGTTTGGGGGGGGGAGGTGGGGGGGTTCTCGGGAAAAATCTTGGATAGTTTGGAATTCTTTTCAACTGTTTTCCAATGCTCACGAATGACACCGAAGCTGTTTTTGAGAGATGGGTCGTAAGTAAGAACACATTGAGTCCTCTTATTTTTTCTTTTTATCTTTGCATTCTAACAGTTTACTCCTTTGGATAGTTTCCGCTTTCTGAAAACTTTTTTGAATAATTCTGTGATTATAGCCCCTTCTCTTCAAGCGGGTTTCGAGTTGACTTAGTCGTTGTTTAGTTGTTTCTGTGTTGAAACATATTCGCTTGACTTTGAGTGCCTGACTGTACGGGATGCTCTTAGTACAATGGGCAGGATGGCAACTTTTAAGGGACAGGTATTGGTTAGTATCAGTAGGCTTATAATAAAGGTCTGTGGATATAATGCCATCTGTAAGGGAGCTGGAAGTATCGAGGAAGGTGATTTTGGATTTAGATCTCTCATGAGTAAATTTGATACTTTGATGTATGTTGTTGGCATGAGTGATGATTGTATCTAAATTATAGTCATTTTTATTTCCATTTCATATCCATATCATCTATAAATCTAAACCAGGAAAGCGGTTTTTCGATTGAAGATTCAAGGAGTTGTTTTTCTAATTTGCCCATAAATATGTTGGCATATGATGGAGCCATTTTGGTACCCACAGCAGTTCTATTAACTTGTAGATAATGATCTCCATCAAAGGCGAAGTTGTTGTTCTTTAGTACCAGCGTGAAAATGCTCACGCTGGTACTAAAGAACGACAACTTCACCTTCAGATGGACTGCATCTAGGCATCAGGTTTATGCAATTTGAAATATATATATACACATACATAAACACGAGGCTGGTGTAGTCACACTAGCATGCACAAACAAAAAAGCTGGAAAAAATCTAGCAAGTACTATGAAATGCATTCCAAACTATCCTATGAGAGACAATAATTTTAAACTTCAATTAATTCGGACAAAATTGCAATACGTAGCTATAGATGGTTTCCCTTTTTCTGCTTGATAAATTTTCACTATGAAAAAATAAGGGGGAGTTGAATATATATGTAATCTGATAGAGTAAAACCGTCTGAATTTACTGGTCATGTGTACAATAATTGCTTACAATGAAACCATTTTTACTTAATTTAAGAAAAACAACTATGATACAATTTAATCATTAACTGAACTATAAACTCTAATCATTTGCTCATTAGAAGTTTCAAAGCCAAGCAAATTAGAACAGTGCAGTCACTGCACCAGACATGTACATTTCTGTCAAAGTTCTGTTGTTTTTTCATGCTTTTCATACCTTATTAAATGAATGATTTATTTCCAAAAAGAACATCAAACATGGATAAAATGTAAATTATGTTTTTATAATACCAAGAGTTGGAATACGCTGCATTCACCTTGTCGGTCTGTGGGTTTGTCCGTTCGTGCAAAACACCGTTCCGTCACAGTTTTTAACGTATGTCAGAAAGAGATGCCCTGAACACACTGCTTGGTACATTGAACAGACTCGAAACCCCTGCAGACCAATTCTGTGTTTCGCCTCCAATAAAGTCTGCCTTTAATAAATTTGTACAGCCATTTTTGTCTCGCCTGCAACGAAAGTCCCAGTATGTGAGACATAGATATTACTACCCGGCGGCGTAAACTATTTGTATAATGTTTACTATTTTTAGAAGGTAAAAGATCTGAATGCTTCATACCTTGTATGCATATACCTTATGGTACGAAGTTTCCGTCTGTCATGTCCATTGTCCTTAGCCTCATTTTCATGTTTCAGCAACTGCCTGAAAACAAATTTCAGTTTTTTTGTTATGTGCATTTCTCACTTATTATGAGTAGTAGGATATTTGGTATATAGGTTCCTTACAACGCCAACATATATATTTATGTTTATATCGCTCATATGACCGTCAGCAGTCTTCGGAGGTCAACTCTATAGTTGATTAGATGGCGTCAAAACAAAAATACACACGAAACAATGATACATATTATGAACCCCGTGCCTTGAAAATTATGTATTTTAGACTTTTGATAAATTGTATTATACGTTTTAGTATGTTATAAATCAAATATGAGAATTTGAGTCTAATCGGTGAACATGAATTTGATAGCAAATTCCCCTTTAAGAATTTTGCAACAAAAATGTCCAGCAACACTTTTAGCGTTAATCAGTTTTAGTTCTTAGTTGAAAAGTGATGAGAAATGCTGTACAGCTACCTTTTTCTGCAATGTCCAAAATATACCCATAGGAGAAATACTTTACTATCTCAGGTTGATAACCAATTCACCAATGTAAAATATCAAGTACAAATAACCTGATTTTATGGATAATAATAAATGAAGACAACACATTTTTATCTTTGTTGTGTGAATTTTTAAAGCTCTACTTTGCAGAAAGAAAACAGCATAATTGTACTCAATTATAATGATCATCTACCTGGTAAAAGAAAATGTTTATTTCAACATCCAGAGTTATCTCTCTTTATTCACTAACTGGACTTTTATGATTTATGCTTTTATGTATGTTCTAATGTACTATATCTAATTAACATAATCAGAACGAGCGTAGTGAGAAAGATTGGTATGAAAGTGTGAATGATCGTGTTAAATTTTGTAATGCCCGAAAGGGCCCTGTGATTAGGAAATTTTGAATTTCGACACTGGTGTAGACCGAGCCATTGCAACTTCAGTGTATGGGTAGTGGATACCAAAATGAATTTCCATCTAACGTTGTCGTTACATTTTCCTATCATATAGAAGGAACCATAAAAATAAACGTGTTTTATTTTTTGCTTCTCGTAGACACATCCATTTGGATACATCAGTGTGAAATCGGTATTAAAAAGATAATATAGACTGGTATTAGTCAGCTTTATATACCCATTGAACAGTTTTTGATTTTTAAGACATATAGGTTTAATCTTACTGCATTATTCATTGTTTCAATGAGTCATTCCTTTCCGCGAAAAGTATGTGAATTCTGGCTCATCATTGAAAGTGTAACATATCATTTCTTAACAATTGGTTAGTGAAGAGACAAAAATTGTCGAAAATTATTTCTGTTTATGTTATTATAACCAATAGGTAGATACATTTGCTGAAAGGGCTGCTTAAATCTTTCCAGCATGGCTTTGTTTAATTGACATCTGCTGTTATAACATTCTGGAAATCATTTATTTCAATGAATGTGTAACTCTCAGGAATATTTCAGAGTGTTCGTGCATTTGATTTTATTTTTAATATGTTTTAATATCATCAGCTCTTAAATGTTCGTATTAGGTTTAGCCTTCAAATATTAAGTATTTCAGCAAAACTAAATTTACATTAACTGTCGAAGTGCATATTTTCATCTTCTAGACGAAACAACTTTTAAATTTAATCAAAGAAACCATTTCATGTTCAATAATTCCAGAAATTTTGCCCTTTTAAAAGTTTTGTGTGTGAAAATAACCATCTGGCATGTATTCAGATTTTAAAATGTTCATAAAAATGCAGGAATTTGAGGCGGAAGAAATGACAAAAAAAAACGTAAGAGAATACAATGTTAAGTATACAGATATTTTTTTAATTGTTGCAATTAAAAAGAATGTATTTTGCTGTCCCAAGGTCAGATATTCAAACATAAAATATACAATTTAAATTAAAATTAAATGAAACGTTGATAACAAATGTTAAGGGAAAAGTGTACCTAGCTGAAATAATAAAGAAAAAAACAAAAGATCAAATTTATGTCTATTCATGTCAGATAATAGGACTTTAACATTCTATTGAAATATTGAAATACAATTCCTGTCATATTCAAGTGGATTTATGCATTTAAAGCGCCACTTTAAATCACGAATCATAGTTTTTAAAATTTTATCTGATTAATAACTAGTACAAGAAAAACTAATATAGACTGGGACCAAATGGATATTAGATGGATGATGTATGTGAGAAAAAAAATCCAATAACTAAAGCAAAAGCATCATACACCCTTTACAGAAAAAGTTGAGGGGACTGCAAGTGCTTTTGGAAGGATCATGAACTACTAGTGGGATTCGCCATGTTGATCAAGGCATGTCCCAAATGAGTTACAAGTCGTATTCGGTTATGTTATATACCAGGACAGATGCATGGATGTTGCTACTTAAGCTCTAGCATATCGTTTCAAATTGGAGATATATACTATATACAATGATATACTTATGTATGTACTTAAATTGTCGATATTTAAGACTCTGATTTATATTTGTCTCAATGACAATCATTCCACATATCATTTTGATATAGTTACATGCAGATGATTCGGGAATATTTTCTACATAGAAATCGAAAGTAAGTGGTAGAACAAATAAGATCTCAGAAATTTTCGTCGCAAAATTAAGATCTAGATTGACCCTTTTTGATCATTTTATGAATGCAAGTCAAGATACGCATACTGTAGGGTGATACTAGCTTCTTTTCTTTCCTCCTGATTTAATCATATATTAAGTCTGCCTCAAATGAATAAAAGAAAGAAATCGGCAAGAGGAAGAGCACATTATGTTTCCATATGAATGCCATTTGTTCGTTGAATGGAAAACATAAGTTATATTTCTGACTTATTATAGGCATTTTCAGAAGATAACCGTTGGGTTAACCCTGGTTTTATAACTATCTACACTTCAAAATTTACCAAGAACTGCGTGATAAACACATTTATCTGAATGAGGGAAGAAATATCAACTATTCAACAGTCTGGCATTTATTTCGCTTTGACTACCAATTCTCTTGGGTATTTTGGGGGACACTGGATTTCATGGTTTGTACAAAGCCTTCAATCGAACCTATTGGATATGTGTACTTCGTTGAAATGTAAATTCGTAATTTACCTATACCGACGAAATCCTACAAAAATTGGTATTCCATGAAAAAATGTGAATCAACAGCACACATCTTTTATGAAAAAGAATGTGGAGTGCCACTCAACCAGTGAATATGTTAACTTAATTCAATTAATCTTTCTTAAATCATCGAAAAAGTGTTACTTAGTATACCACTGTGTACATAGTGTATGCTACTATTACAAATTTTACACGGATATACATGTATCACACATGGTTTCCTTGGTTCTTTTTCTATCGGATCATAAAATTGGTTAATACATTTATTTCGTAAAATATCTTATCTGTCTGCATAAATCCAGTGATAACAATTTAGGCTTTGCCGAGAACAACTTCAGAATTGAGAACCACTCCTGTTCTCAAAAATTCCATTTGTGATTGTTCTTTCCAATTATATAAGTAATGGCATTTATAAGTGAGGAACATAAATATAAAATACGTCCTTAGTTAAAATAAATGTTCCTTTTACATAGCCATTGGAACCATGACAAATATAATACAATGTATAAGTGATATGTATAAACCAACTGAAACAATAAAAATATACAAAAATTTGGATTTATTATT